GTGTGGTAAACGAGGTTGCGCACTAGAATGTAAAGAAAGAATTTTAATGAAATCAAACATAAAGCGGTGGAAGAAACAGTTCATAGATATGCTGTCAGTCTCATGAAATATGTAGTGAAGTTAGGAAAAGGGCGATAAATCGGAATGGTAAAGGCTTGAGCTGATTAAAAAATACAATGTATTGTGTCCTGGCTACTTTGTATAACGAGAACATCAATCACACATAGTTCACAAGATAGAACGGGATTGTATATATTCAAAGAGATGTAAAGACGTACCGCAGAAGAAATACGCAATCACAAATAAACTAAATGAAGAAATCATAATGTTCACACTTGGAATACAAAAAGTAAACATTCCAAACGTGGAATTTTCATTTTGAAAAGACTAGTACTATGTCAAGTACTAGATTGCTTATTTGTAAAGGTCGATCTTATGACTTTCCTCCTTACTACCCTGCCTCATGCATATTCAATTTGAGGGTCAAGGTGTACTAAAAAATGTGACACCACTACTCCACCCCTCCAGTTTTTTTTTTCAGATGAGGAGCTGGGAAAGAAATAAAAAGGATCAGTTCCAAAGAAGTTTCGCTTCCTTGATGTATGCTTCCCTTTAGCTTTAACAGGTTATACAGGACAAATAGAGAGTTCAAGCTTCAGCTCAATATTTATCTTCATATTCTATGTCCATCAGCTTTTCATCTTTTCCAAGGGCCATTTCATCTTCAGAACCACTATTCGTCACAGTAATTAGTGGAAATAATAAAAAAGAGTTCATCTCCTGAAGATCTTCGAGAAAATCATTGAACCCTTCCTTGCTCGAAATGTAAAACCCAAACAACATGCATGGATCAAGTTTGTCAATACTGATTGTATTCAAACTTCCAACAAGTTTTCCCGCAGTCCTTTTAGAAACATAGGCCCCTTGTATATAATGCGGATTTAAGTAAAACACTTTCCGTTCCTGGCAACCACACAAATAGTATGAAGCCTGCCGATGGCCCCCTGCAATGCCACATAGGGACTTCATTTTTAGGCAGCATAGTAGTGCTTTTTTGTACTTCTCCCCAATTTTCCCAATACCGAGGGCTACAGGTATAAACAATGCAACAGGTCCTGAGCGTTCTAAAATTGACAGAATTGGTTGTATGGCAATGTTTCGATCAATGCTACAGTACGGATAAGGGCCGGCACCGTTCTCCGTGTAGTACTTGAGAAGGGTAGCATACATTGCTCTACAGGCCTGTGTAGGTGAGAGCCACGTCCCATAAGAAATCCCAAATTTATGCGCCTCCATCTCTAACTGATGTATACTAAAAGGGGCGGTTGGTGTATCCATAAACAACAACTGAGTCTGTTGTCGTACTTTTTCGACCTCAGCGGTTGGTATGACTGAAGTGCAGTGAGCATTGTACCGCATAAGGATTTGTCCAAGGACCATTTGCCCAGTGCGCAATAGACATCCCCAGCCGGAATCCGTCGTGCTACCGTTAGGCAGTTGGCTAAAACAATTTCGGTAGGAAAAGTACAGCAGTCGTTGCGTCCCCTCCGTTATATACCCTTCAGTGTTAGTGCCCGTATATTTTTCCAACCCAACAAGGAATGTCTCGGTGGAGTCAGTTAGCATAGGTTTGGTTTCTCTAAAGGACGAAATAAAGTTGTAGTATACCTTTAGCAGGCTTCCAATGTCGTAGGGGGGTCGCTCCTTCACTGTAATAGCACCTGATTGGGGCATTCACTTTCGCCGTGTCTGAGCCAAAAACCGTACCTCCTGACCACTTTTGAGGGCGGCTATTTATGTATATCGAGTAAGAAAATTGATTAGAAAAGAATTAAATCATGTATTTTATGAAGGAAGCCAATTCAATCAAATACACGATGCAACGATTTTTAAATAATTAAGAGAAATATAGAAACAAAGAAGCATAAGGCTTCTGCAAATAATATTAAGATAAAACACATTACTAGTTTTTCAGATCGTTGCTCACCACATTTCCATTCGCGTCTCCCGTTAGAAGAATCTCTTGGCCTAGCATAGACGCGCAATTTATCACGGATCTTTTCATTCCCGTACAGACATGATGGTCCAATGCGCATTGAACCATGGGGAGTTCTCCATCGATCTCTGCATCACCGTCGCCTAGCAAAAAATTGGGCACATCCCACACCGTGATTTGTCCACAGAGGGAAACTGTCAACAGGGAGCCAGTGGGAAGGAAATCAACATGACAGAGACCGTTGGTAGCATGCCCAGGCGCCGTCATTAATTCCTCCACCTCGCCTTGCGTTGTCACCTCGCATATGATGTATGTTCCATCTGCCAGACCCACCGCGACCTGGCAATTTTCACTAAACCCGCAGCAGTTTGCAAGGGGTGGGTTGAACATCGTCGACCCTTTATCGAGTTCCAAATTTCCCAATGTGAAATCCCGCCATTGGGTCGGTTCAGGACCTCTGAGTAGACAACCCCTGCCGTCCATGCCGAGCGAAAACAACGACCTTTTGCCGTAGTCCTTTTTCGCACTTCCCTCTGTTACAAAGCCTAATCCAGAGCTATAGTTGGATAGGGAACCAAACCCATTTTCAGGAACGTCAACTAACTTTCCAAAAACAAATTCTTGCAGCATGGAAGATTTGCACATGTTCATCTGGTTCAGGGGGAAGATATGGCCCTTCTCATCCACAATAAGAGTCCACATGCGAGACCACGGATGGTCCCCTGCAAGAAAGCGTACAACCTCACAGGAGTGCCGACAAGATTCTATGGAGCTCGTTCCTCTTCGTATATCAAAAAATTGTATAAGTTTGCCACACAGGGTGATCGCCATGTCGAACTCAGGCAGAAAGAGTAGCTCCCCTGCGTCCAGATTATTTCCAATATCGTAGTTGGGGATCCGCGTGTGCATTGCCGTCTTCAGTCGCGTATCCCACAGAACCACGGTCCCATTATAACTCAAAGACGCAAATTCGGTATCGTTACAAGAAGAACTGCTCAAGGACATTACGCTGCCATCGTCCACTCCCAACAAAACCATTTCGAAGAAATCAGGAAGCACTTTAGTTTATTATTATAATTATTATTTGGAAGACAATATCTATCTATATATAGATATAGATATAGATGTATCCTTTATTCAAGTATTGAATAGCTATGTTTTTCTTTAAATGATGTTTTTGGATGTGAAGAAGTATAATACTTCTTTTTAAGAGACCTGAGAAATAAACCAAATTGGGAGGATAAAAATTCAACGATAGAAGGATAGTGTAAAGAAAAAGAAATGGCGTTTACCCTTCTTTTTTCATATTTCATTCATTAAATTTCTAATTACCAGTGTAAAAATTTAAATATTCTTCTTAAATAATACTAACTTGCATGCATAACAATTCCAAGACACAAAAAATACCTGACATCTTTTAATAGGAGAAAAAAGCACAAAAATTTCTTCTTAACGTATAACCTTCAAAATATGAAAAATCATATATTTATATTATATATCTACATTTATAATAAAGATCTATCAAAGTGACTTAAGAAATAATAATAAAAGAAATTACAACTTATAAACACGTTCTATACAATCATAAAAGCATATGAAGCGGGATAGAAGTAATAATTAAACTGATCTCCGGTAAACAACATAAATTATATTAGTGTTTGATATTATCAATGCATATCATTGGACTATTCTAAGCATCATTGGATATAGCTGTAATCTCTACTATCTAATCGAATGATGTTTGTATATTTTCCTTTTGTCGTTGTTGTTTTTAGCTTAGACTCATATACCAGAGGGGGAAAAAAATGTGCAAATATATAGATAAATATTTGGTCATATCTTATGAGTATGATAAATTCAAAAAATAATCATCAAGATGTGTGTAGTAAAATTGAGTGAAAATTTATGTTCTCACATTTCTAGTTCTCATCCTTTTTAGTAGTTGAGGCACAAAGGCCTCATTTTATGGAACACAGGTTAGCCCAAATAATACCTTGGCCACCTCATTGATGTCACCGTTCATGGTACGCAGTGCGGCCTTTACATCTCGCTTAGGGGCTCCCATAGCTATGAGATGTTGAACGTTGGGGTCCGCAGTGGTATATTTATTATGTTTTCGGACGTGTTGTTGGATTTTTTTGCGGTTGATGCCAGAGAGAAGCCGCGTAACCGCACGCTCAACCTTACCATCATAATGGGCGAGAACCAATCGAACGTCCTCTTCGGAAAATCCAATTTCGACGAGTGCGGCAACCTTCATCTCGAAATCCTGCTGTAGGAGCCGCCCCTCCATTTCTCGGAGGGCCTCAGCCGCTTCGTACTCCTCGTGCGTCCCAATCGCGTAGCTGAGCTTCTCAAGACAGTCTAACTTCAATTCTTTCTCCATAATTTTCTTGGTGAGCGCCGCTACCTCGATATTCGAGCAGCCGTAGGACTTGAGCTCACGAACCGTAATACGACAAATCGAGGCAATCGAGTTGATGTCGGATTCCAGAAATGACTTGACCACATTGGGGCAAACCCGCGCGGACATCATCAAATTAATGAAAGTGGACATCTCGCGCTTATCCACACATTGTTCGTGAATGTTTGACACCATGGCAAGTGCCCTTTCATAGCTGTCCGCTTCGGCGGCAATATCCATCAGTATCGACATATCCATGAGGGGGAAAAGATTGGCGATATCCTCCACCCACATAATTCGCTCGCCGGGCAAGCCGTGCGCGCAGAGTGCCCCCTTCGCCTCGCGCTCTTCACGCAGGCATTTAAGCTTGGCGATCCGTTTCGCCTGTTCGGAGCGTTTGCGCTCCTGATATTCCTTCACCCATCGCGATAAATACCGCTTACACTGCTTGACCAGTTGAGAACGGCGACGCACCACTAAGCGGTCGAGATCGGACCATATCTCACCCTTCAAAAAGACCTTTGTCTTCCCCAACACGAAGTTAGGACGCTTCCATCCATATATTCGTTCATAATAGTTGAGGAGCTCGCTGCAGGCTTGGCTGTAGTTTTTACTTTTAAAAGTTTTCACAGTCTTGCGTGGCATAATCAAGAAGAAGTAGCGACTGAAATTTTCGAGATAGAGGCGCACGGGGTAGCCTTGACGTTTGAGCGCGATGGTTTGCAATACCCCGGAGGATTCCAGTTGAGAGCTAACCAGAAAATTCTCCATAATGTCCGATCTCGCTTGCATATTCGGCTTAATACAACGAATAAATCGCGTTTCGGTGGACTCCAGGTTGATGCGAAGATCATTCAGCTGGGACTGAAAGCGAGTGGCGATCGTCATCTTGCGGCTCGCTCGCGCTTGTGCATTAGTAAGCAATTTTGAAATGAATTCATCCTTGGAGGAAAGAAGTGCCTCGTACATCGTGTCCTTTATAGGATCCGAGTTTTTCTCGGTCCATCCTTCCGTGTCGTAGTTTACAAAAGAGGCGTAGTGCTTGATGCCAAATTGGTTTGAAATGGTGCTCTTGGGGACGACAAAGTAGGGGCTTTTGTCCTTCCAGTACCTCCACAGATTGCTCGTGAAGTGACCAGATGTCCCGCCCTTTAAGTTGGACTGTTCATTAATGGCGGGGAAAATGCCGTTGGGGGGCTTTGTAAAAAGCTTAATGCACTCCGAGTTGTCTGGGAAGACCACCTTATGAAGCACCACACCTTCTCTCTCGCATTCTTCCTCGTCATTAATAAACGTATCCTTGTTGTAATGAGCCTGCAGCGTCTCATTCGCAAAATTAATACATAGCTGTTCAAAGCTGTTCTTATCAAAATTTTCGAACCCAAAAATGTCGAGAAGCCCAATGTACTTTAAGTTTGTGAGATTTTCATCAGGCTTGATAGACCGGTTGATAAATTCCACAATCCAATCAAACAACCCAACGTAGAGGCCTTTGCAGAAGGCGTTGCGGGAGAACTCCGCCTCAACCTTGGAAGAGTAAATTGTAACCAGGCTGGACTTAGTTTTGATGAGGAAACAATTTGAAAGCAATCCTGCGTCTATTTTTAGTAGCGTGCAAGACTTAATAAAAACTTTTTCGTTCGAAATGTAGGCTTTATCATTATCATCCATTTCAAAAGTGATCTCCATCATAAACAAGATTGCCGCCAAAACACGATAGATAGAATTTACAACGTGATCTGGGATGCCAATATTCTTCATTCCACGGCGCACCCTCATAAATTCTTCCGAATCGTTGAGTGTATTGCCATCAACACCTCGGCGGGTGAAAACTTGCCCTCCGTTGAGGCAGCTGTAGTCCTTGGCATTCTTAAGCCCACCGAGGCTCTGTTTTTCGCTGATGGAAAGATCAGCGAGCATTTCGTAAAAGACGTGGTAGTTTCGCTCACCTTCCGACTGTACGATAATCCGGCTCTTCTCCAGTAAGTACGTGACGATTTCACCCCCAACCAAGATGCCGGACGAAGGATCAAAGTAGAGTTTGATATACTTTCCAAAGCGGGAGGAGTTGTCGTTCCGAACGGTCCGGGCATTACCGAAGGACTCCAACACGGGGTTGCTCCACATAAGGCAATCATCAATCCTATCCGCGATGCTGCGCTGCTGAGCGGTGTCCGAGCTCGCATGACTGAGTTGGCCCAGATAAGAAATAAGACTTTTGGTGTTCTCCGTCTTCCCGGAGCCCGATTCGCCCGAAATGACGATTGACTGGTTGCTGAGACCGAGTTTCATGATCGAGTTGTACGCTTTATGGGCAATCTGCCAAATATGGGGTGGGAGTTTGTTGAAATCCGGTTCGTTCATGTATTTACGACGCTCCTGGTTGCTATTAAATTGCATTACTTGAAACGGATTCACCGATAGAAGCATTTCACCCATTAGAGAGTATTGCTGCTTCTTTTCCTCAAATCGCTCTTTAATGCAGAACAAAAGCGTCGAGACATGCAAATCTCTAACATTAAAAAGGTTCGTGTTGTCAGCATCATAAGCTTCGGGAATATAACCGTGTATATGTTCTGAAGGCACAATCTTCACCTTTTCTCCAACCTTACTCAGCACGGAAATGTTATTACCTTTGATTTTATTAATTTTGCCTCGAGACCAGCCAATTTGGGGCTCGAAATAGTACACTTCTTGATCAACAGCAATACGTTCAGAGAACATTTTGGATGTGGAGGCCTTCACTTTTGTTTTATCTAATTTGTATTAGTAAACAGGCACAGATAATTTACAAATAACAATATTTATCGCTTTAGTTTTATTGATTAGATTAAAAAAGGATCCCACTTCTGGCTTAAGTGGAACAAATAAAATCCTCTAGGAATATTTGTATGATTTTTTAAGTACTAAAACATGCAAAATAGGAAGAGTTTCAGTATAAAATTGTCTAGAGAAGAACCATGTAAGGAACAGATAAAAAGACTAACACTGATGGAAAATTTTTGTCCTCAGGAATGAAACATAAAGCAATTAATTTTTTTTTAGTAAATTTTATAATAATTTATCCAATCAGATAACAAGATGATGTCTTGAGTGCTTCTACGCTCTAAATGATAGAATGATTCCCTTAAAGAGCTTGCAGTTCGACATAATTCCAATCCACAACTAAAATAATGACACTGCAAAAAAATGCCACCACAAAAATATTTTACATTGAATAAGTAAAATTCAACAAAATACCAAACAATCATGTATTAATCATCCTTATATATTTCAGTACAGGTAACAAACTTGGTCGCTTCCACTACCAAGTAGCTCGAATTACTAGCTAGGACGACATGCAAACCTCAGTTGTCTTGGATAAAATCTAATGGAAAATAAAGCTCTCGAATCTTTTCCCATTTTCTACTCCTTTTCAGCATTTCCAGAAGTGAAGCGATGGAGTGGATACATATGTGTCCTCATGATGTGTTTGATATGGCTCGTTTAACTTATCGTGTGCTTCGAGGTCATGAGGGCTTCCTCGGGGTCGAAACGGTCGGGTACTTTTTTTTTACTTTCTATACTTTATAGCTACTAAAATGCAACAGAAATGAATCTGTTGGTTAGTAGATACTGTATTATTCAAATTACAGAAGGAAAAGAAAACCAAAAAGCAATACCAAATCTTACTCCACACTTTACTATAGCGAAATAACCTCTGTAAATCAATACTGAAGTCATATTCCTTGTTTACACAGAGGAAAAAAAAACAGTACAAAAATAAACGAAAAAAAATGAAGTGATCAGATAAATCTGCCTCGAAGTAGGTAAGTAACCCTGAAGCGTATGTTATCCAGTACCGATGCTTCCTCCCTTTCAACAAAAGGAAGGAAGGAAAATTAATCCGCTCTAAAGGGAAAAAGCAGAGACAAAAATCTCCACATCGGAATGACGATGGTAATTTTTTTGTTGTTGTTTAGAGGTAATAAATGAGTGGCAAAGCTATCTATGGAGGAAGTGGGGAGGGGAGGGGATGTGAAATGAAGATGAATAAAGTTCCGATAATCTTAATCCTGCACGTTCCTTTCACCTATCGGTTTTGTTAGTAAAGCTTTAGGTTCATTTGTATCCTACGAATATACAAGCTGTCGGCTGCGAAGTCCTTTTCAAAGAGATCCGACATACCTTCCACCCATTGCGATGTCTGCTCTTCCTCCTGTTTGCTCGCAAGGATATCTTTAGCCTGAATAATGCGCGTACTGGCAAGAGAAGCCCTTGGTAGTTTGGTATATCGCCGCTTCGCCTCGGCCACCTGCTCCGGCGTCGGGAGCGGGGCAGGGATGCTAAACGTCTGCCGGTAGGCGGCCAACACCTGCGCGCTCACCTCGGGCATCTGTTGTTGGGCGTGGAAGGCCTCCTCGTCGTGGCGTAAGGAGAGCTCCTCGCACTTCAACGCCAAGGCCTCCTCCAGGCGCTGCTCGAAGCGCTTCATGGCCGCCGCATCCAACGCGTTCTCGGCCTCGGTGAGCTCGTCCGGTAGGGTGAACATGAAGGGAATGAGAACTAAAGGCAGGTCGCCTGCACGGGGCGGCGGCAGCTGCTGCGGATGCGGCATCACGGCGCCTCCCCGGTTTGCGTGACCCGAGCCCATTCGGCGCTGAACCGCGGAAGGAGGGGCGGCAATCAGCGAATCACTTCGAGGCTGCAAAAGCGCGCAGGGGCCGATATTCAACTCCGCCAGGTTTAGCGGCGGGTTCACTATCCCGAGAAGCTTGTAGGGCGTGTCGGTTTGGACCCGAGCCCCACACACGGCCGCGTTCGCCATTCCCAAAAATTTGCTGCGCTGGATGGCGGCTTCCATCATCTCCACCTCATGCGGGTTGGTGATTTGTCTTTCGGGGTTGACGACAAAGACATAGCGACCACTCTGATAGCCCTTTAGGGAGTCTAGACTGGATAGGGGTACACGGACTTCTAAAACAATCGCCTCATGCCGGTAGTTCGAACTTGTAAATGGGTAATCGCAATGGATCTGGCAGGAATGAGAAGGGGAGGTGGCGCCTTCGGAACCAATCCGGGTGCGCTTCAGCGGTGGTTCGCTTTCGGTATCATGGGATGGAATGGGATTGGTGGATGCCGCTTCCCCGATACGACTCGGTGAAATGGTGTTGCCTGGCAAAAGTTTGATGATAGAGCACTCGGCCATTACATGCGCAGACGAAGACGGATCGATGCCGACTACCCGCACGACCTTATCGCTCAGGATGCCGGATGGCTCCCATGCAGGGCATGGCACCGGCTGCGAGAGGTAGTACAGCTCGCCAATCATGGTTTTGGCAGCCGCGAAGTCGACGGATCCCCCGGCGTCTACCGCCGCGGTGTCCGGGATACTGGAAGAGGCTCCATTGTTCGTCAGCAGCAGCGTTTTAGAAGTCTTCACCGAGTCCGCCAGTGCTCGAATCATGCGGAGCCCACCGTCGGTCACGAGGACGTGTAGGCCGTCGGGGAGCCGAACAAGGTTGCGCAGCTCCCCTCGATCCATGACGTCGACGTGGTTGCTGACAAAGGTGCCATAGGCCCCTCCCATTTTTTCGTAAAAGTTCGGATCATTCATGTCCACGAACTCAATACCGGGAAAGTCCTCCTCGGCAAAAAGTGGCGGCATGCACTTGGTGGGGTCTATGATCTCGACCTTCGCGCCGGCCCAGAACAAGCCCTGGGCCGCAGCCTTCCGCTGCTGGTATAAGGAGCGCTGCATTTCCATTTTCACCCGCCCCTTTTCCGCCTCGGTATCGAGGAGCACCGTACCGAGAAGTTGCGCCCGAAGCTCGCGCTCCAGGCGCCGGCATAGCCCGCAGACCATCGTGCGATGGTCAGGGGTGTGTCGATGCTGCTGGGCCTCAAAACACCTCACTGGCATAGGGCCCAGGCACCGGCTGCATTCCGTGGTATACTCCACCTCACAGGGCAACTCGGAATCGCCGCAGATGCCCTTGAAGACGTGGTGCACGACCCCGTAAATCGGCTCCAGGCTTTCCTTTTCCAGCCCCAGGACGATCGAATGGGAGCAGGTTAGAGGGCGCTCGATGATCTGAAAGCACGCACAAGGCTCCGCGCAGCTTCGCAGGCAGCCATGCTCGCACGCCATGGTGGACAAGCAGGCGAAGGGGCAGGCGTCGTGGCGCATCGCCGGGTGGCATGCCTCCCGGCAGACGTGGCCGGGTTTACCGCAGTTGTACTGGTGAAAACAAAACCGCCGGCAGGCGGGGACGATGGGGATGAGGCCGTACTCGATCTGCCGCTGGTTGGGGTGCTGCGCGCAGCACAGCGGGAGGCTCGGGCCCACCAGCGTCGGTAGGCGCCTTCGCGCCTTCGGGTCCTCCCGCAGGGGGAGAGTTTCGGACATGGAAATGAGGGGTTGCTCGTCTTGCAGCTTCTCCAAGACGTTCTTCCACTGGGGCCATTTTGTTTTGAACACGGAGGCCTTCCACCCGGCGTCCATGAAAAGGACAAAGCCATTCTCGGCGGCCTCAAGGGCATCGCCGATGAAATTCTCTTGGCTTATGGCCCTTGGAAGGAGATCAAGACTCGGCGGAAGGCCTAAAACGTAGAGAACCGCCTGGTATTTGTAGGTGATGTGATCCCGGCGGTTGATGGCCCCCAGCTCGTGGTGCGCTAACACGACTGGCAGTGGAACCTCCCCTTCAGAGCGACCTTTCGCCGCGGTAAGAAGCTCCCGCTTGACCACCGCCTTGAGCTCCAACGGCACGATTACCGCGACTTTCGTCACGTCGACATTGTTGTGAAGAAACCACTCGATAAGGTTGCACAATTTTTGCATCTCTTTTCGGTTGCACATGGCATTCCTATTATCACCTTCGGAGGTATGATGCGTCCATAGCCATAATGGAGACTGTAAGCCGAGCTTATAGGTTAGAAGAGCCGCTTTGGCGGCCTTAGGGCCGTAGAAAAATCGGATAATTGAATCTTCTAGACGAGAAACAAGCGATGCGTTTTTTGCATTACCATTACGATTCATTATACTTACCATTCACGAAAATATTCTTCAACGTCGGGTAATAATTATGTGTAGCGCTCTTTAGTAACAAAGGTTGCAAAAGGATAAGAAAGATTATTGATGTGTAATTTGGTCCCAGGAGAAATAAATTTGATCATGTGAAATAATAGGAATAAGAAATGAGCATGCGAAATTTCCATTTGGTTTGCAAACATATTTTTTTAATATATACACACAATGACCTTTTGATGCTTACTTAATTAATTTACCTGTTGTTGTTCACAATAAAATGAACAGAATATATTCAGGATAGTGTTTTGGTCAGATGAAATTATGAAAAAATACTACTAGGAAGAAATACAGTAATTATAATTGTATTCACCACGGTGATAAATATATTTAGATTCCATAACTCTTGGGTTACTACACTTCTACGAGCTCGAAAGTGCATTTCAGAAATGAGCCTCCTTATGTATAGGGAAAGGATTTCTGAAATGCCGCTTATCAAGGTTCTGGTGTTGATGTAGCTTCGCGTAGCTCTTGGCTAAAGATGTTGATAGAAAATGATCGACCTCACCATTATTCACAATGTCAGTGATAGCGTATTGATTCAAAATTTTGTCAGCTTCTCCACCTGCCTGTGTAGTCGCTTCCGCGGCGTTAAGATGCACCACCAATGTATCAAGGGCCTTCTCGGCTTTTTTGACTCGTTCAGCAACCCAATCATTCTTGGAATCGTTTTCTTTCAATAATGCACGAAGTCTGGTTATTTCCTTCAGTGCGTTCGTGAGCGACGGTTGTTTGTCTTCAGAAGTCGATGTACCCGTAATACTTAAAACACAATTGTGGTTGTCAAGAGTCCCCAACGGATTCGAATGAGAATGGGCGGAATCCTCCGGCGTGGCTTCGATTTGTGGAATCCTATCGACGTCATTCGCTACCAAAGGCGGCTCCAAGTGACCTAACCGTTGCCTCAACGTACGATTGTCCGAATGGAGCTTTTCTATCAACTCCAGGGTAGAGCGCTTAGAAGCGTTGACGTTATCGTGAAGACTCAGAATTTCGAAAGCCTTCCGCATCATATGGACTTTAGTTTGCTTCAGTTCATCGTGTAATGCCATCTTTTCTTGGATAAAAAAATTTGCCCTTTTCTTTGGATTCTCAGTGGATTCTGTTGACGGTTTTAACGCGGACCTTGTCCCGCTTCTGCCGCTCACACATACAGGCGATTCGAAGTTTTCCCCATGATCAGTAGAAAAATATTGGTCTATTTCACCCTCTGCCAATATACGAGCACGCGGAGGGGATGCCGTATGTCGTGAAGACGAGGGTCTATCCTTATCAAATGGTAGAACGCTTATGTATGTCGACGTAGAACCGTGACATTTGGGGCATAGCTGCATCATAGTAAGGGTTTTACATAATGTACATCGCCTTAAATAAGACATCTTCTTGTAGTACTTAAAATAAATAAAAAATAACTTTAAAAAGAAAATGTCAATTGGAGTGAGTCATATTCACTTTATAAAAATTGAACTTTGTGTTTTTGGTGATCACAAATGAAATGACAATTCCGAAATTACCTTCGGATTGCAGGAAACATAAAAATGGTTTTACGGAGTTGCACCAATCAAAAGAATCAAACAGAGATTCTTCATATTGTTACTGGGTAATCCCTTGCTTCTCGAAAATTCAAATCTTGTTGAATATATTTGTGCTGAACTTCTTGGCTAATTTGCCCCCTCGGCAATTGACCATCCGTTGGGAAAAGGAAAGAGCTCAATAAACCCAATCAATCCCTGTGAGTTAAATGTGATCCCTCTATAGTATTCATTTTTCCCAAGTACAGAAACACTCATCCTATCACGCTTGGCTCCTCAAAGGCACACCAAAGCTAAGACCTCTGCAGTGATCTCCTCCTCAGATGGAACTCCTCTCTTATAGTCTAAAAGACGTCTAAAAAGGGGGAGGGGGAGTATAAAACACGCTTTTAGAACCCGGCCCCGGGCTAAACTCAGCGGAATTCCCCTATCAGAATTTCTCTTAAGCCACCTTCAGGGTCCCTCCCTCCCCCTCTCCCCCCCCCCCCCCTAATCCTCACACACGAATATAAACGCTTTCTGAATCCTCCAGGGAGAAAAAAACAACAGTGATTAATTTGTTTTAATTCCCGCTGTAGGGACATCATCTGCCGACAACTTACCGTAAATTGTAGTAAATGTGAATAAATTTGATAAAACATCCAAAGAGGTAGGCGCGCTCTCCGCTCCGAAAGGGAATGTATAGATGGGGTTTTCATGGGATTGATTTTTGTTATGTTTCAGTATGGTAAGCATTTTAGAAAGGAGGGAAGAAGTCGCGAAGATTGATGTAGAGTGGTATAAAAGAAATTCATCGACACGGCCTCCTCCATCCAATCACACCCGCTTCTAGATAACAATTGATCAGATACTGGTCGATATTCCATGAATTTGACCCTTCATCGCCACGCACCACCGAAGAAACATCACGCAATCTTCTACTAGAATACTCGGCACCAACCATGACTATTGCATGTATCGATTTGAAAAGGGTAATTTCCAGAAAGTTATGAGAATTGCTGCATAACAAAATATTGCGAATTATTATTTTTAAAGTTACTTGGTAGTGAGCTTTTTGTGTCCTACGAAAGTAAAATACGGGGTAAAAGATAAAAATTATGGAAGAAAAAAATCATTCAATCTGTCTGGAAACCAATGTCCAGAACCCTGCCGCAGGTGAGCTATTATATTCATCTAAATACATATATTCGCCTGTTATGTATTTTGATTTGAAATTGAAACTAATTTTTTTATTATGAGAATTAATTACTTTCAATATCAATCGATAATATCAATATATTCCATTTGTTGGTTTAAATATGAGAAGTCCGAGTTGTTATAAATACACCCAATAGCTTTTCATAACATAAACTTCAAAAAAACAAGATTTAAAACCGAAGAATACACTAACGAACCAAAGCTGCTTCATAATTGTTGTCAACTCCTATCATCTAATCATATTTACTGATAATAGAAAAAATCATTGTTATGAGAACAGCTCCAATTAACGTGACATCGGTCGCGAGGCTAATGTAGCTCTCAAGCTCGTGTTTTTTCAAATCCCTCCATAGGCTCGTTGCGTCAACGTATTGGCAACCCTTCTTCAGCCGCCAAATAAAAAAGATGAGAGAAGATGCAAACATAAGGATGGCTATATAACTTCTAAGCCAGATTGATTGCACTATTTGGATCACTCGAATCACCAAGTAAACATCCAATAGCGGATTACAAGTGCGCTCGCATTCCATCGCGCTCGTCTGCTTATCGCCGTAATCGTAAATGCTGAAGGCGTAAATAATCGTGATAATCATCTGCGCCAACTGCACAAATAAGAGAGCGATCCAGCCACTAATAAAATGAATGAAATGGCAACAAAAGGCGATAATACTCAAAATGTACACCGCAAGAAAAAGATAAGAACGCTTCCGTTCCGTTGCAGAACGTTTAGATGGGTTTAGCAAGGTCCCTATGACCCCTCTTTGGCATTCCAATATACGCATATACGAACGCTGGGTTTTGTTAGGACCTGGATATATAGATAGATAGATAGATAGAGATGTGTGTATGGTTGTTTATAGGTAATTATGAACACTTATACAAAAAAATTTCGAGACAAAAATCAATAGGTGCACATATAAAGGAAAGAGAAGTGTGAAAGTAAGCATAGAACCAGTATGACTAATTTATATATTTTTTATGTGAAGAACAAGATGATAAGGGAATCGTATTCCTAACACATCGGTAGCTTTTAAACGCATCGGGATGTCACACTTTAGAGTTTGTATTTTTGTTCGTCCTCATGATGTCTTCATATTTCTTGATTCCCTAAAGGAAAAATAAATAATAAAATCTCTCTATGCAGCTATCCTGGTGATTTCAGATTGTTTTATGCATTTTTATATCGAACGCCCCTGAGAATGGTTATTCGTTAAACGCCCACCACGTCACGCTTCGCGCCGCCGTCGCGACAAGATTATAGCGTGGATTGACTTCTAGCGCGATGGGCACATCGCTGTCTTTGGATTGCAATTCATAATGCAATGGCCCGGCTTGCACCTCCACCTGTTTATCTGCTTTGACGCCCCCCTCCTCTTTTGGGATTTCATCGTCTGCACTATTTTTATACCCGCCATACACAAGTAGATGCCGGCCGCCCACCATCGACGAGGTGGGCTGGGCGATCATGGAGTCTCGAAGATTGGGGTGAACATACTTCGCCCCGATCGCGTCCTCGGAGCCCACGAAATGGCGCTTGGCGTCGTCGTGGTAATAATTACAAACCACCCTCCCCGACTTCCAATCATACACCACCACCTCACCCAGGGAGGACGTCAGGAGAAGATGGGATTGATCGATGCCGTACTCCGCCCCTTTACACCGCGCGAGCTCCGGTCGGGAGGAGAAGAGCTTCTTATTCTCTAGGCAAAGCACCGGCGACGCGAAAAGAAAGCGGCGATCCAGCAGCGTAATCCGGCGATCATCCCCCAGCAGAATATGATGGCCGTCGTGGTTGAAGGAGAGGGCGACTTTATTGCCATTCACCGTCTTGTCCGCTGAGGCCGCGATGGCGCCGGAGACCAGCGGGTGAAAAAGGGCGAGCCGGCCTTTGGCCGACACCACCGCCCCGAGGACGTCGCTGGCGGGGCATTGCGAGAGCGTCGAATAGACCGGCATGTTAGGGTAAGGATGAATCTCCCCGTCTAAGTCGTTTAAGTAGGCCATCTCCCCCACGAACTGCGCGGTTTCGAGGTTTAAAAGGTGCAAATGGCCGTCCAGGGGAAGCCGCGGGGACACGCAGAGGACGTGGGCGGACTGGGTGTACCGCACGGCGTGGATGCCGAACACCTCGCACTGAATCGTCTCGGTGTGGTGCATCGACGCCACGTCGATCAACCGCAGGGCGTCGTCGTTGTGGGAAGAAATAAAGGAAAGACCGTCCATCGAGAAGTTCATACTCGTCGGTTTGGGCTCATTAAGCCCCGTATAAAAGGTAGAGGCCACCTCGATGGGAAATCGCTCCGGTTCCCCGTTTAAAAGGGGGTCTGCTCCCGCCATCGCGGCGGCAGGGTGGGGTCGGCGCATCCCCGCGCTCGGTCCTTCAAACGCACGGACGCCCTAACGATGTCGTGGAAACCCCCCCTTTGGTTTGAAGCCGCGGCTGACGGCCAAAGGAGAAGGGTTGAATGGCTTTTTTTTTATGTATTTTTGTTGGGTGTGTATGGTTTTGGATGCTATTGGGTGTCTAACATCCTTTATTGATGAATCCCACTTTCTATTCGTGTTTGTCGATTGACTTCTTTTTGAAGCTTAGCTAAAACGATGAGGCTTTCATCGTCGTGGAAAAAAAAAAGGTTGAAACTGATATAAGGAGGGAATCCTATAATGTCTGGATCATTAAACAAAATAGCCTTACAAGAAATCGGTTAGAAATGATAGAATCTATTTATATTTATACGTAGGCATGTTAGCTTATTATGTTTATAAAGGAAGTCTAAGATTGAGCAACGTGAGCGGATAGAGTACTTTTTTTTCGTCCTGGAGCAAGCCACTTAACAGGGAGCCTCCCCCATGATTGGAGGAAGAATGTCTATTAACCTCCAATGGCTCCGTCCGGACCGCATGCGCATGCATTTCCAAGGCAACCCCGGTGAGTCGATCCTCCGCTCCGGCAATATTCATCCAATACCCCACCAACGGGTCCAGAAATATCAAATTGAGGACATGTTTATGCTCGGCGTGCGCAAGGACGTCGCGAATGCGCAGGAGCGCGCGTAGGACGTAGGCCCGGCCTAGCAGCAATCGCGTCCCCACGACCGCGAAGACCCTCTGGACCAACCCCAGATGACGATGCAGGGGATAAATAAGCGCCCGGCGAGTGAAGGAAAAACACGCCTCGTACAAATCCTCCGGGGGGTCCAAAAAAGACAGCGCGGGGCTTAATTCGCAGAGGTTCCACAGCGACTCACAGCACCCGGTGCCCTCCGTAATCAGGTCATCATAGGCCTCGGCGAGAAGAAGGTCCGCGGTGAGGGCGGCCACCGAGGAAAAAGAGGGCTGGAATAGAAGTCGAGGGGGTTTAATTCGCGTCAGGGTGTCTTGTTCGTCTTTGGTAAAGTCCAAAACGGGCCGACACGATGGAATGGCAACGTGAACCGCCGGAGAAGGGCCCCCCGTCGTCGAAGTCGCCATCACCGGCGGCCTCGAGGCGGGGTGAACAGAAGGCAAGATGATTGTGGGGCCCGTGGGCCCCTTTTTTTCCGCCTCGGCCGGTATTGGGGGGGGCTTAAAATCGCCCACATTGCCGCTCCAAACTTCCACGCAGCCCTCCCCCACTACCGCCTCGTCCTCCTCTTCGTAGGCGTCGGTGGCGGGGGCCTGCGGGGTGGTCGGGCCGACGCCCTCCCTCCCCCCCCCTCGCTGGGCTTCATCGCGGCTTGGAAGTCCCGCATGTGGGCTGGGACGTAGCGTAGGACCCGCGCCACGTCCCCCGCCTCGTCCTCGAAATCCAAGAGAAGAACCTCCTCGACAAAGTCCGAGTTCTCCTTTTCCAACCGCAGACGATGGCGATCGGAAGGACGCGTAATCTCCGGCTTGGGAAGCGCCACGACTTCCCGTAAAAGGTCCTCGTCCAAGTGGGAAAAAAGCCCACTAAAATGGTTCGCGAAGCCGTAGTGAACAGAATCCCCCGCGGCCGACTTCGCCGAGGCCGCGTGCCGAAGGGTCTGGACGTACTCGGTCTCCTCGACTTCGTCCGGCTCGGCGGGGTTCGAATTCGAATTCGAATTCGCCTCGCCGCCCTCGTCCGCGCTCGTGAGCAGCGTAATCAGGCGGTTTCGCTCCTTTTCAGTCGCGAGCAAAAAGGCCGGGTTGTCGAGCTGTGAAAAGACCTCGCCCTTGATCTTCTTGGGCAGCCACGCCGTCAGGGTGTGGGATTCGATGTCAAAGGTCGCCCTCTCGCCTTTTCCCTCCTGCAGGTCGTGCGGAAAGCGCAGGCGTAGATAATAAGGGCTGCAATAAAACGTAAATTGGCCCTCGTGGATGTCGAAGACCGCGTTGGCGATTTTGCACATCCCCGAAAGAATCAGACGGACGATGACGAAGTCGTCGTCCTGCGCGCAATAAAACACAGGCGTCAGCATTGGGGGTGCCGGTAAAGTGGGTGCACGACCGCTTCGCACGGGATCCGGCGTCTTCGGCTGAACACGATAAAAATCCGGAGAAATTTTAAAAAAAAGAGCCCCAAATAATAATAATTATAATAATAAAAAGGGAAGAAAATATAAGCTCACCGCTTTGAATACACAGCAGAAATTTCTCATATCCACATGGTCAACGATATAAATATAGAGAGAGTGTGTAGAAATATAGATCCGAGGAAAAAGGAAACGTAACTGTACTTTCATAAACAGTTCGTATTTCCTAATAGGAGCCCTCCAAACTTTATATGATTTCTTTGTGTTGCTTATTCAAACACGTTTTTTTGATATATCAAACTTTCCTTTAAAAGATGTCTGGAACCGATTAGCACTTCAGGAAACAACGAATAACAAACGTTATTCTCCACTACACCCATTTCTTACAACAACATTGCAATCTCTCGCTCCGCTGCAGGATTCTTCTGGCCGGGCGATAACTCCATCGCTGCCCTGAAATCTGCCAAAGCCGCCTCCTTTTTATCGAGCGCCTTGGCGGACAAACCTCGTCGAAAGAGAACCTTCACCTTCAGATCACTTTCCAGCGGAAACGCCTTATCGTCGAGCATAAAAGAAGCCACCAACGAGGCGTCGTCAAAATTCTTCAGCTTAATATAACACATCACGGCGTTCGCGCAAGCCACCTGCCCGAGCTTGACAGCCTCCCGATCCCGACTTCCCAAGGCGTGGGTGATGTCGATGCAGTCTTGATAGCCTTTGAGGGCCGCCTCGAAGCGGCCTTCCTGGAAATCCAGGTTGGCCTTTTTCTTCAAAAGATCGAAAAGCCCCATCGCGTTATCCCGCATGGCGGGGGAAAGCTCCTCATCCTGCGGAGGGGGGGTCCCGGATGGAGGCGAAGAGGGCTTGGAAGGGGGGAAAGCCGCGGTTTCGGCCCTCGAGGGATTCACCGCGAAATGGCGGGCAAAGCGGTGGTGGTACAACGCCACCCCCGTAATCCCCACCGCGAGCACCCCCACGCCGGTGACGCCCCAAAGCGCATGTCGGCTCCATTGAAGGGTCATTTTGGGAGGTTTGGGGAAGGCCGTTCGATAAATTCACACACACGAAAAAAAGAATTACCCTATGGTCTGTTTAATTGTTTATTTATTGTTTTTGTGGGGGGGAGGAGAAAATAAAGAAATAGTGATGCATGTATTCCTTTAAAGAATACAATGGTAATTGGGGTTTCGAGCAATTACCTTTCTGGGGCTAAGAGTGCCTTAAAAACCGCAATAGTGGAAGAAAAGACTTAATTACGATTCGATATGATAAACATGTTTAGAAAAGAAAAGATAATGGTATAATAATGAACACGTTGGAATAAAGTAGAAAAAGGCTTTATAACGCATGGGGAAGGCCACTTTTACTTCATCATGTCACCATCATTCAAAATAATAAAAGGTGGACAGGTGCTCTAGGAAATCTAAAAGGTAATATGTCTGATAAAATGGTAAAAAAAAAATGAACAGTATACTAAATAATGGCTGCAGCAAAACATGTTTTTTTTTGTACTACAGGATTCACGTATTGTTTTACCATTATATTGGCCTATTTCTTCAAGTTCTACAATACCATACTTTTATCTGTAAATTTATCTTTTTACTCATATATCAATTCGACTTATGTCTCTTGTAAAGAAGAATATGAGGCTCAGGTCGGTGAATCATGTAATGAACCCAACCCTGAGACTGTTGGACTCCCAACTGTCGCCATTCTGCTTCACTCATCAACCTATTACGCGGTACCAACTTCGATAAATCTTTGGGAAGAATCACATGGCGATACTCAAAGATGTCGTCGTAATATTTCTCACTGTAAAGGATTTTGCATTGTAGCTTCTTAATAATGTTCATTGCCTCGATCTGACCCTTCGTATCGAGAGAGAAATAATCTTGCTCTTGTCGCTGTGCCGGCATATCTGATAATCTCACTTGTGCAGATGCTTTTTTTTTCAGTAATATATATTTTCCTTTTAAAAGGTAAAAACAAAAATCTGATATGCCTAAAGTTCCTTCACTAAAAAAAAGTACTGATAAAAATGGAAATTAATCCAATCAAAAGATAAAACTAATTATCAACAAAAAAATCATTAGATTTTTAAGGTTTATCAACTCGTACTATTCCAAACGTCAGTATTTTATATATTTTATTCACTTTAAATACT